ATTATCTTTTTTAATTGTTTCAAAATTTTTATTTATTTAATTAAATGAGTTTTCTATTTAATTTATATTTTGAAATACATCGAAATTGAAATTTGAACCATACTAAATGTGCTTTTCTATTAGTTTGGTTCAGGGTAGTATCTAGTCGAGCACTCTCGACTAGAGTTTTCTTACTTGTTGTTGTTGTTGTTGTTGCTGCTGTTGCTGCTGTCTTTGCATTTCAATTTTGGCATGTTATTAAAATGTGTTTTCAATTTCACTAGAAAGCCTCTCCAAAACAAGAGTCGCCCTCAAAACCAAGAAAAAAACCTTTTGATATTCTAGCTGAAGAAATTGAAGCGAAATGTGGAAAAAAAAACACACACACCAAAACAATATTTTGTTTCGTTTACAACGCGCGTCGACAACACAGCCAGCCAGAGAGAGAGAGGGAGAAAGACAGAGACATGGCTTGCATTACAAGTGCTTGCAGCAGTAAAAGAAGTCTGTCTGCCGCGCTTCAAGAGCGGGCTTCGGCTGGGGCCGTCTGTGTGGAGGTCGTAGAGCTTGAGCGACTGACTGATTGAGCAGCAGAACGACAGATTGACAGACTGATGAAATGCGCCTGTCAATTATGGGCAACGCAAATAAAACAAATATATTTATGAAATCTCTTAGGCAACGAGCTGGTTAGAAAACAAAAGACTTGGGCAACGAACTTGCGTTTGTGAGAAAACAGAAAAGAATAACGATATACATATCGAATACGAGAAGAGGGGAAAAGATAGAGCGATAGTGCTTAAAGTCTTTGCTTTGCGGTTAATCGATTATCGATAACAACTACAGTTCTATGTGCTTCAATGCTTATAGCATTACCTGCTAGGGCTCAAATGGAGAGATCATATAGATGATGCTCAAGATGACCTTTGCTTTCGATCTATCGTTTATTATTGCGGCCCCTTACCTATGTCACACAATGTCATCGGCATGCTATCGATAACGCATTTAACGAATTTCTCCTTAGCATTAGTCATTCATTCTCTCCTACTACTCTCCACATTCTCTTTCTCTCTCCCTCTCTCTCTCTCTCCTAAAGTTCATGCCATCATCGCCGCATTGTATGCACATCCGTCATTCGCCTTTCCGGCTTGGACCGTTTCGCCAAGGCACATAAACAAAGGCAGAAATCAAAGAGACCTATGCGTATTATTAACATATGTCGTACGCGTTAATTAACAATTCCGCTCAGCTAATATCGGTTTCACCCACCCAAAAACAAAACCAAAACAACAACCAAAAAAACAAAATAAATAAAAAGAGCAACAACGAAAGCTCCTTTTACCATGGACGCCCCCGCGGCTGACCACGCCCCTCACCTGCTTTTTTCGGAGGAAACTCTCGCGTGTGCTTGTCTGTCTATCTGTGTGTGTGTGTGTGTGTGTGAAGAAAGTAAATTGCGAGTCTAGGTCTTCTCTATTGCTTTATATGAAAGTTACGCTCGCGAGTTGAATGACTCAAGCGAGGAGGAATCGCGCTGCAGCTGAAGATGGCAGCTGGAGATGAAGTCGCAGCTGGCGTCGCAGTCGCCGCTCAGCTTGGTGACCAGAAATCAAATTAAAAACAAATTTGCCAATGTACAAGAAAAAAAAACACACACACACTCACACACACAAACTGGCCAAGAAATTGAACGCTGCTGCTCGGGGAGGGGAATCGCACACGCATGTCTCTAACCTCCAGCTGGGGCCTAGCCCCTAGTTTGCTTTTGCTGTTCGCTTCTTGTCAAAGTTCAAAGTAAAAGTTTTTAATGTGGGCGTGGCATGGCATGCATTTGGCATTGACTCTGACGATTTAAGATATGGGACATGATTGCCGAGGATTGCGATTGCGAGTCAGCATTCATAGTCACGAAAATTTATGCCGACTTTTTAATTTCCAATTAAAATTGCGCAAACATTTTGCACTTTTCGATACCCTGCAGCAATAAAATGCTGATCGAGGGATGTTCGAAGAGATAAACGGATGAATGACATTAAAGAAGAATCTGTATATAAAGAATTCATTAAGAAAACCCTCTGAAACTCTGTTAGCACTTCCAAGAAGCATCCATGAAAAGTTCAATATAATCTGCAATGATTCCATATAGGAATATGTAACTCTAGTTGAGCCTATTGACAGCTAAGACCCTTCAATGAAACCACCATTAAAATATATTACATAGTAAAAGCTCTTTAGATCTCTATAATGTCAAATCACTCCTCTATAATATCATCTGCTCCCATTTCATTACTCTTCCTAGTCTCTGTAGTCCCTTCTCTCTTCCCTCTTTTCGCTTTTCGCATATTACTTCTCACTTCTCGCTTCTCTTAATGGCATTTGTAGTTTACAGGGTATCCGCTGGTCGTTCAGCTTGCTCATCTTGCCTTTTAGATAGCCTTTAATGATCGCTCGGTCAAAGTTCCGCGCAGAGCGGTAAGCCGAGGCGTAGGTCATTAAAAGAAATCAACGCAACTTATCGTTAATGCATCGTAAATTAGCTCGACACTGCATTAGATGCCACATCTTTAAACACATGCATATACACATACATGCACACATACATTTACTGTCTATGTCTCGCTGTGATTGTCAACTTATTAAGGAGCATTACTCATGCTAGGCAAATGCAACGCATTAAACTTCATTGCCAGCCACACCTCGGTCCAACCGAAACCGAAAGCCAATGGCTGAGTAACCGAGCCGTTCCATGACCGAAACTAGTAAAGTCGAAACCCTAAATCCAGATGAGCCACAATTCCCTTGAGCTGAGAAAGGAGACTATTGAACCAATTAAATAGATGGAAAACGAGTAAAGCTCCAACTACAAAGGAAAGGAAAGACGAGATAAAAGATCAAAGATGAACAGAATCCACTTCCTACAAGCTAACTGAAGCTGTTCGAATTCAGCGAATTCTGGCTCAACTCGAGAATATTTACATATTTTATAAATAATACACAATATTTATATTGAAATCTTAAAAGTCAAAAGCTAAATTGGATCTCTTAAATGCGTGAGCCGAGTGTCCAAGGCAATTTATAGCTTTGAACCCTTGACTTATGTATATATGTGTGTGTGTATAGTTCAAGCTGCATCCACATTACGCAAATGCACGGGCGGACGCAGCGGCTGCGGCTGCGGCAACGCCACAGGCAGAACAAGACGTGAACTTCAGATTCGAGCTAAACAAAAGGTCATTCCACATTCCGCACTCTCTGCGAACCACTTGCGCAATATGTTTTGTAGCTTCTTCGTTTTGTTCAAAAGATTCGCACGAATTTTGGGCAGCGATTCCCAAAAGCAAAACTAACTGCTTCGCATATACCCTGAACCGAATAATCGCTCGAGTTTATAGGGTATAAATGATGTTTATCACGGCTTTATCCACAATTCAATCTGAATAAGTTTTCAATCAGTTTTCAGCTCAAATAAATTGTATTATATAAAACTCTTTCAATCACTAAATTTGCCAATTAATAGAGCATATGTAGTTCTCATCATCAATAAACTTATGAATCATTCAATTAGCCAATGGATCAATCATCGATCAATCATTCAATTCAATCAATATCATCAGTCATTCAACTAAAATTGTTATTTACAAAATTCTTTTGGTTTATCACAGGGTATTTTCTTGTCACGTATCTGTATGCGAATCATTGGGATATTTTGTCATTGGTCTCGGAATGATTAAGTACGCGCGAAAAGTATTTCACATACGTTTTTTCATACTTTGCTTATTTATATTTTATATAATTGTTTATGCTGAAAAATAAAAGCATGACTTATTTAGGGAGAGGCACAGATAAGAAAAGCGAATCACTAGAGAAACAAATTCCTGAATACCCTTTAATGTAAATTTTAAGCAAGCTTTGCCAATCCACCTGCCAGAGTCTCTTAGTTAACTAGCCAAGCAATTAGTAGGTCAGGCAATCAAGCTTTATCAACGATTAGCGAATATACATATTTATAGATTTTTTTTTATTTATCCCTCAATCAATTGCAATCAATCAACG